TCATGCAAACCCAATGTTTTATTAATAGTTGACACACTTTTATTGTTTATGCTAAATACTCGTATACCGATCTGTCTTTTGAGCTTTGTGAAAAAAAACATTATTACGAAAATACAATTATTTTTTATATGCACGTAAACAAAAAGTATCGCGACATTATGCATAAGTCTATCACTATTTATAGTAGATTTGTTTGAATTTGGTCAACTTTGAGAGTTGGTAGATTTGTTGAACCTTAGTAGACTTGTTTTGGTAGACATGTTTTTATAGCATAGTAGACTTATTTTGTGTTGGTAGACATATTTATTGTTGGTAGACATATTTATTGTTGGTAGATTTATTATCTTTAATAATAGACTTATGAAAATATCGTTGACTTATCGTAAGTGTTTGACTTTTTTGGTAGATTTAAATAGTAATGGCGACAGATTTATTTGTAATGGTGACAGATTTATTTAGTTTGATATACAGTAAACTTATTTTGCTTGGTAAACTTATTGCTATTAATAGTAGCTTTATCAGGAGTTAGTAGACTTATTCGTATATATGGTAGACTTAAAACAGTCGTATTTTAGAAAATAATGTGGTAGATTTAATTATAAGTATGGTAGGTTTATTAAATTTTGGTAGATTTAATTATAAGTATGGTAGGTTTATTAAATTTTGGTAGATTTAATATTTGTAATTTACAATACTGGTAGACTTATGTTTGTATTTTGTTCTTACTCAATTAACCTGCACTTTGAAAAATAATCTTCAGTTTAATAGATTTATAATTATTTGGGTGATGGTAGACTTATGAAGCTGGTTTATAGTAGACATTTGACTTTTTTAAAATTTGAAAAGACATTTTTGCCCAAATTTGTTCGTAGATATTACAAAAACACTGATTGTGTCATCTTCTTCGATTAGGGTTGCAGCCGTCGAAGTGTGATACTTGAAAATTTATATTTTATGGTAGACATGTTATTTGAATAACCACTTGTAGTATACTTATTTATATTTTATAGTGAACATATTATTTGAAGTAGCATTTGTAGTAGACTTATTCACATGTTTTATAAGCAGATCAGGGTTGAAGATGCCAAACTTTTGGCTGTGCAAGTTATTGATGCAGATCAGTCAGAGGTTATTGGCACAACTTCTGCCCATGTTGTCAATTTGAAAGAAAAAACATGTACCTGCCGCCGGTTTGATCTTGATAAAATCCCTTGTGTACATGCCATAGCCGCTGAGGAAGCAAGAAAACTTCACGAATCTCCCTATACCATCCCTACTATCAAACAAATTACTTGCAACATGCTTACGTAGGAAGTGTAATGCCAAGAGATATAGCACTACCAGTGCCAGAAGAAATGGCTAACAAAAATTTTCATACTGTTTTCGTTCGCAATCCTCCAGGCAGACCAAAGAAGACACGCATTAAGAGTGCATTCGAGATCGCGACAGCGAACAAACGTCCAAGACAGATGCCTAAATGCTCTACTTGTGGTAAAAGTGGACATAATCGCATCACATGTAAAGCCTAAATTTTCTATTTTCTTGTAATAATCGGTTTGTTAGACTTGTAACACTTGCTTCATTTTTGTACTCTCTTCTAGTACTTGTATTGTCGTAGTTTTTTTTAAAAAATTATTGTCAACCTAATTGATGCAAAATATTCCAATAATTAACCGTTTTAACATTAAATATACCAAATTTTCAAAGAACCAACATCATGCCAAAAAACATCATGGTCCTTTTTAAGTCTAGTTCATCAATATGTCCTAAAAGAATCCGCCATAGAAGTCTTCCGTCGTTAGGGTTCGACATACAAAACAATAAAAGTCTACCTTCGTCAGGGTTAGACATAACAAGTCTACCGTCATAATTGTTTGACATACAAAATAAGTTTATCACTCTCAATCATTTATGGAAACTCTTCTTCTGCAGAGGTGATCTCCCAGGCGAAAATAGTGTGGATGGGTACTCCTTTGTCTTGATAGAAGAGGCCATCTCTGCATATATGTAATAAGAATTAGTCTACCACTCTTAATCAGTTACAAACAAGTCTACCACTCTCTATACAAATATGTTTACCACTCCTCAATCATTTACGAACAAGTCTACCACTCACTATACGAATATGTCTACCACTCTCAATCATTTATGAACAAGTCTACTAAATAAACTCTATCTTTACTGAACATGTCTACCACTCTCAATCATTTATGAACAAGTCTACTAAACTAAACTCTATCTTTACTGAACAAGTCTACTACTCTTTCTGCTTTTCCGACAAGTCTATTACTCTTTCTCATTTATGAACAAGTATACTAGTCTTTATGGAAACAAGTCTACTACTCATTTTATATACCAATAACAAAAACTCAGCTTACTTAACAATAAATCGACCATAATATCACCCTAACTCACCGCAGATCTTCACCCTCACCGGATTTCCTCTAACCCACCGGGAATTTCTCTAACACCTGCAAACAAAAAATTAGGATTAGATTTTACCCAACAAAAATAGCGTCGCAAGGTAATTTTCGCTGTCTAATCCTTGCTGTCGAAAACTAAAACGGCGCCGCAAGGTTTTCGCAAAGAAATTCCGGCAACTCCTCAAAAATCTGCAGCGACTCAAACCCTAAAATTCGTCGAAAAACTCTGCAGATGCTTTGAACGGTGCAGAAACTTCTGTAAACAAAGAGGAAAGAATTTAGAAGTGTCAGGAAGAAGATCTTACCGGAAAACCTTCTATCTCCGCCGGAATCTGGTCGACAAAGTTCGTTCATTCCTTTTCGCCTTCGCCGCTGCCGCTATCGTTATTTTTTTTTTCAGAAACCAACAACTCTTCAGTTTTAATTTTAACATATTTCTATTTTTATTAATATCTATTTAAAAATAAAATAATATAATTGAAAATGGCAATTCTGTAATACTGTGTATCCTCGAGGTAAAATGGACATTGACAAACTTATTAAGGATAGTCTAGTAAGGTAGACTTATCCAAGGATACACTGGCAATAAACCATGCTTAGGAGGATAGTTTCATGCATTAACTCTTAATCTTATTATTCATCAGCGACATTCTCCTCACAGCGCTCCAGTTCTTAGCCTTTGGTATTTCATGTAATCCAGCCCCTGCACGGACAATGAAATGATCCTTTTGTTTTCCAAACCCAGATGCTATCCATAAGGCCATTTCACGAACAACATCATGCATATACACTTCATATAGTGCATTACGTTCATCCTCAATCAGAAGAGATGAACGAATAAGGCTACCGATGATCTCATAACCCTTATTCGCAGCCTTTTCCATATCTTCACTTCCATCAATGATCCCTTCGCATATCCAATAATTTACCAATCCGTGTTTAGAAATCTTATGATCTTCGGGAAATAAAGCGCAGTAGAGTAAACACGACTTGACTTGCTCACCCTTTAGATTATCGTAACTATACTTCAATATTGGAAGAACTTCATCCTCAATACCAGAAAACTCAACAGCGTATGAAGCCAAAACATCAATTGCGTGCATCCATTCTTGAATCGTTCTTTTGAACGCCATGGTCTCGCCAATGACGTTAAGTGCTAGTGGTAGGCCATGACACTTTTTAGAAACTATGTTTGCGAGTTCAGGTATATCTGGATGACTTCCTAGCGTGATGTCTCCAACTTTCTTCCGGAACAAATCCAATGCATCCCTAGGAGCCAAACACTGAACTTCCATCCCAACATCAACTCCCATGCGCCCACACACTTCTTGAGAACGAGTGCTGAAAATTACTTTACATCCATTTTCTCTATTTGGGAAAGGGACTCCAATCTCCGCTAGATTCACTTTCGTCCATATGTCATCCAGTAACAACACAAACTTCTTCCTCCTCAGGATATTATGTATGTCACATGCCTTGTCGTCTTTATCTTTCTTATTCCAATCCTCGCCAGCCATGCCTAGTTTCTTTGCAACCTCTTCTTGAATCTTTTGGATATCTAAATCCTTAGATACCACAACCCAAATCACAATATCAAATGAATTCCCTTTTTGGGAAAATTTATTGTTGATTTGTGTGAGAAGTGTAGTCTTCCCTACTTCACCCATACCATACAGACCCATAATGCCTACTTCATCTTCCATGAGTCGGTTCCATGCCCTTCCAAGCACATTTTCCCGACCAACAATTAACGATTGGATAGGCCTCTCCTTGACTTCAGATGCTTGAACTTGCTCAGCAACAACTTGAAAAACTCCATTAGATTTTAAATCCTCGATCTCCCTCAATATCAAGAAAACCCTTTTTCCGTAACGAAAACTCTTCTTTAAACTTTTGGAGCAAAACCCACAAAAACACAACCTTTGAATTTCAGCTAATCTAGCACTAAGCACGCCATTGACTTGCCTTTCGATGGTCTCAACTCTAGTAAGCCATACCTGGACTTGGGCAAGCCTTCGTAGACCCTTATCCTCCTCTCTCTCCAACCTTCTTGACAAATCATCTCGCCTTGCGTTCAGTTCTGCCATGTTTTTCTCCAGAGCGGTGAGATTCTCCTCGAGATTGTGAATGTAACTCTGTTTGACACACAACCATCGAGAGACTTGATCCACCACATGATCACATGACAACGAGCAAGAGAAACAACCTCCCATCGTTGAACAGTCACCGAGAAGAGAGTCACAAAGATAAAAAGATGGGAGTACTTTGCAAGTAAGCGATCATCGTTTCGGAAGCGAAAAGTCAAAGAGCAAGACTACAATCAGAAGCATTGACTTTCTTTGCTTCTCAATAAGTGCTTTTCCGCCACTTTGTTTCCATGAATATAATATACTTTGTCAAAAAGCCAAATTTAGGCATACAATATGACTAGAATTGACCTTTGATCAAAACAGATAAGAGAAACGGAATCGATTAGGTTTTCCTTTACTTCTCAACGGTAAATTGTCAAACTACACCAGAAGGAACAAAACCAAACCAAAAGTGGAATCATTTTCTTTACTTGTAACCTCTTCTACACTTACCCGCGTATCATCCTTTTTCTTATATTTACACAAAACTTGTCATTGACTTTGTTTATTTTTCACTTTCCAACGAATAGCTAAATATGAAATAACCTCTGGCAGCGCATTTCTCCAACATTCCTTATCAGTATGAGCGTAGCAAGAAGTCATGAATTCTTGATAAGCTTGAGAAACCGGTAACCAAATACATTCCTCCGTTCCTACATTCCTTTGCTCTTCAGCACCTGCATTACGTACCAAAAGAATAGTTTGAGTACTCAAAATGTGAAAAGCACAAACCTCGAAAAGCTCAAGAAAGAACAAAGGTGGTTCACGAGTTTATGTGCACCCACAATCACACTTCCACTAGTTATGAGAAACACGTGATATAACTTCAAAACTGGAAAGTCGTAGTTACCATCCCTTTCCTATTTATCATTAGACACTAGAAGACTTGGGGGCTGATGAATAAGAATGGAGTCAAAGAAAGCATGAATCAGAGATAAGTTGCCGTGAGGAAAGTCTAATAATAAGTACGCCTTTTAGAGGATAGCTAACAACGTATTGGAGGTGATTCGTGATTTTGGGAGATTAAAGATCTTTATAAAGCCGAACAAGACTTAATATCTTCAACTTTGCATGGCAGTTTCAAACTTAACAAAACAGCCAGGACAAGTAAGGTGGTGGTAAGGAATGATTTCAAACCAACGGATTCCAAAAAGACAAGCAAAACCATGATCAAGAAATCCAAGAAACGTAACAAAACTTATATTTTGATACAATAAAGACAGAAATTTCACCTTTTGTGTCGAGATAAAAAGGAGATGATGAACCATGCTTATCAGCACTGCCGACCGAGGTGCTGCTGATGCCGGAGCACAAAAATCTTCTAGGTAATCCCTTTGAAAATGAAAAACCGTATCCAGAATCTCCAACAAGGACTGAAGAATACGTGAAGAATCCAAATGCATTTGCCATTGAATAAGAATCGACTGAACAAGGCAATCAATGCTTGGATGAAGCAATTGAGGATCTCTCCGTTCAATTTAGAGAATTACCGAGTGCCAGTGAGTGACACCACTGAAACAGAGGAATTTGCAAGACAAAACCCAACTGCAGTAACAATTTACAAGAGAGACACAACTTTGTTGCATCGCCCAGATTCTCTGTCTCCAAGTAAAGACGGTGCATAGCCACAGCTCAACATTTCTTTGATAAGTTTAGCCGATGCGGTTATGTCACCATCTCTAAGACATAGTGTACCGTCATTCAGCATAAGCCCGTCTCTTTTCATTTTTGTATACAATGAATCTACTTCACAATGTAGGCCTTTCCTACACAAGCCTGACATCATTGTAGTGTATGTTACAACATCAGGTTTTTCTCCTTTGAGGCTTAGGCTACAAAATAAACCCCAAGCGTCTTCAACCTGACCATTCTTGCACATCCCTTGGATGATGATAGTATATGTAACAATATCAAGATACATTTCTCTCTTTTGCATATCTTCAAATATCACCAATGCTTTTTCTAGCTCCCCGTTGTCACAAAGACCACCTAACAAAATGTTATAGGTCCAAATATCAGGAGACACACCAAAAGAATCCATCTGACTAAAAAAATCTTGAGCCATATCAACTTCCCCTGCTTGAAAAAACCCTTGGATAATAGTGTTGTAAGTGACTGTATTGCTGACCAATCCTCTTTGAGACATCTCGCGGAAGAGTTTCATCCCATCCTCTACTCTCTTTGACTTACAAAACCCATTTATAAGAGTGTTATAACTCACTACATCTGGGAAACAACCTTTGCTTACCATCAAATCAAACATTTCACTGGCCTCATCAATACGGTCGTGCATACAAAGCCCATTGATCAACGAACTGTAAGTGACAATATCAGGGTCGATAGACATTCGGATCATCTCCTCGTAGAGTTCTTTAGCCTCTAAAACCTTCCCATTTTTCACAAATGCATCGACCAATGCGCTGTAAGTAATCACATTAGGACTAATTTTCCTCTTGATCATATCACTCAACAGCCGAGCAGCGTCTCTCCATCTACCTGAATTACAAAGACCCTTCACGAGAGAAGTGTAGGTAACAACATTCGGTCTAATTCCTTTCCTTTCAATTCCCTTGAAAATGCTGAGAGCATCATTGGCCCGTCTGGTCTTGCACAAACTATCAATAATCGTGTTGTACGCAACAATGTCAGGTTTATATCCTATTTCCACCATTCTATGAACCAGAGATACAGCATCAGAAACCCTATCCCTACGACAGAATCCATTCACAAGAGACCCAAGCGTGACTTTATCTGGCTCAAAACCAAGCTTCAACATCTTGCCAAGAAGAGATAAAGCGAGAGAGACTTGAAAGCAGCTACAGAAACAATTAATCAGAATATTGAATGTATAGACATCATTTCGAATTCCCAAAACTTCCATCTTCTTCCCCAGAGAGATCACAACATCATACTTCTTCATCTTGACAATGGCGCTCAACAATCTATTGAAATCTACAATGGAAGGGAAGGGACGAGACTTGACCATGTCGCTGAACAAATCGATTGCATCGTCTAGCTTAATGTCACGAAGCCGATTTCTGCTCAATCTCTCTCGGAAATCAATCACGCTAGTGAAAGATCGTACCCAGCGACAGCAGAAAACGCAATGGCTAAACGAAGGAGAAGTACTTCTAGGTTTACCTTTTTCCAGAAGATTCCGGTGAAGCAACCTCTTCGCCGTCATCGCAATCGTTTTCTGCATCGTTTTCTCTTTGCTTTGTCTGATTGGGAACGAAATGTTTATTGAGACTTGCGAGAGATTTGGTAAACCGAGAATTCGAGAGGCCTAAAACCGGTTCAATTCCGGTTTAATAATTAAAATATTAAACGGAGTATTATCGACTCTAATCGCCAGTGATTTGATCACAGTCACCGTTTAAAACAAAAATTCGAGTGGTTTTCTTGGAAACTTCGATTCTTATCCCGATTTGATAAGAATATAGTTAATTTTCAATTTCTTGTAGTTTTTACTTTTTGATCCCGGTTTGGTTCTCGACTCGGTTCAGTTTCTGGTTTAATAGTTGTATTTTTCTTGGACTGTATGAGTAAGTACTTCACCAAAGGAAACAGATCAAATCTCAGAAGACAAAGATAGAACGATTACAAAGTGGAATTTATTGAGAATTTTTGGCTATAAATCATGAGATAAAAAACCTAAAAAGACAAAAGAGTGATCTACTTTCCAAATTTTTGTCTTTGATTTCAGAGAATCCACCTTCTCTTCTCCTGCAATAAAATGGCTTTTCCCCTTTAAGAACCATATAAACAAAAAAAAAAAACTAGAAACATTATAGATTCAGAAAAAACTCAGACTCATCTCAGTCTTTCATCTGTCTTGAAACGTGGTTCCTCTGTTTCCACATATTAGCAGCGAGTCCCGAAACAATAACTCTCTTTAAGGTATTCACGACATCTGACTCACCTTCCATGGTTGACTTATGTAAACACAATCTTCTCTTCTTTTCACTGCTCGTCTTTCTCACAGTTGTTGAGCATTCAAGATTTTCCTTCTCTAGATGATCTCTGACACCTTCATTAGATGATTCAAGAACTGGTTCGTCTTTAACAACATCATTTGAGTAATCCTTCACCAGTTCTCTTCTCTTGATGATCTTTAACACCTAAGTTATGATATTTAACACCTAAGTTAGAATCAACTGATTCGTCCTTTGCAACATCGATTCCAGAATTTTAGGTCTCGAAATGATTTGAATCAGTCTTGGAGAAGTCTCTATGAACCTGCACGGTTCTCCTTTTAGCATTTACAAAAGCCACAATTGTTCAAAATGTTTTTACAAGTAACTAATAGAATCTGATTCTTACCTTAAACTTGCATTGCATCAGAGCATTGGATATCTGTCCTGGAAAAACACCACAACCCGCTGGAAAATCCCGAACAGCCGTCAAAAATCTTTTCTTGTGAATCATTGTCCAAATCAAAACCTTAAAACACCCATCAGTTTCACAGAGTTATAACAAGTCCAAGCTCCACAAAAAGAGAAACCAACTTTTAGTCTAAGAAACAATTATAGACTTTGTAATGAAATCCAAAAACTTTAATAACTAAACCAATTACAAGATCGTGAATTTAGAAATGAAAAACCCCATAAACAGTTTTTTTTTTTTTTAGAATCCCTAACAAAATTGCATCGCTAATAAACAATGCGAATTGAACCAGCGGCTTAATAAAGTGTTATGAGACGAATCAATGAAATTTACGAATCAATGAAATTTACTTCACCTACAATTTAATTCGAAGAATACAAAAATGATTATTACCAATGGAGATCAAAAGAGAAAGAGAGAATGTACTTGAGATATTGAGAAGCTAAGGAAGCAAGCAAGTGAAGTGAAAGTAGTGAAAGTACATTAAAACCTCTATAAATTAATACTCTATAAATTAATACTCTATAAACTAATAATCACTATAAAATAATAAATTTTGTCAGTCCCAAGTCGGGCCAATGTAAAAATTCATCAAATTCGATAAAGTAATAAGATAATCATTTTTTTTGAAACCCCTATATAAATATATGGTCCCAACAAAAATATAAATTAATAATTGTATAAATTTATGCAAATATATGTAATATACTATACTAAAATATGACTAATAGTATTTGTTTTTACTTAAAGTTAAAATTTCATTGGTGTTCATCTTTTACCTTATTGCATATCTATCTTTTGTTGTTGTTTTTCGATATACATTCAAATTTGTGAAGATTTTTTGATGTGATAATTGATTTTCTTACACATAAATGTTTACAAATGTATTGTAGTATTGTCTTCAGTTTCATTTTTTTGATAATAGCCACGGTTTGTTATAAATTTTGAACTTGTAAACATGTATATTTTTAATACATAAATTAATATGTTATTAAAAACTATTTTATTATAATAAATATGTTTATTAATCATAATTTTTAATAAGATATTTGCTTAAATTATTAAATACAATATTATTCAAAAAACAATTTTAGAAGATTATAAGCAAAAAACAGATTATCTCTATAAATTAATAATTATTAATTTATAGATAAATTAATATCACAATAAATTAATAAAATTGCATGGTCCCAACATTATTAATTTATAGAGACTTTATTGTATATGTGTATATATTGTGTCCAAATTCTACTTTATATGCTTTGTTAAGCCCATCTTTAGCATAATTTAAAAGCCCATTAAATAATATTATTTTATTGTCGATTAATTCAACTTTTTATTTATCTATTATATTAAAACAGAATCACTTTTAGACCTTGGATCCAAACATTCCTAAAGTTTTTTTTAAAATATTTAATTTCATATTTATATTTAATTTTGAAAATTAGTTATTAATTTAGATATTTTCAGATTTTCTTAAATATAGGTTATCTTTAATTTAAATTACAAATTATTCATAATTTATAATAATTAAATTTAATTACAAAAATCTGTATTCAATTTAATTTAAAATTCAAAAAATTCAAAAAAAATTATAATTAAATTTTATTACAAAATTTATAATTTTGAATTTAAATAATATTTTCATAATAGTGCATAGTAAACAAATATCTTATTGTATTTTATCATAATCAATCAGTCTAAAATATCAAATATTTAAGATTAGTAAATATTTAAATTATATAAAAATATAAAGGAACTGATTAAGGTTATATATTTATACTAAAGATCTATGAGTTATTTTATTAAAACATGTAAGATATTAAGATGATTTTAGCCAATTAAACTAACAGGTTAGCCAATTTATAGATATATACATTTTTTATAATAGCACAAATAGTAAATAAATATCTTATTATATTTTATCATAACCAATTGGTCTAAATATTTAATATTAGTAAATATTTATATTATACAATAATATGATGGAGCAGGTTAAGGTTATGTAATTATAATTATAGTCTTATACGGATTATTTTGTCAAAACATGTAAGATATTAAAAAAAAAATTAAAAGCAACTAAACGGACGAATTAGCAAATTTATAAATATATAGATTATTTATGTGTAAATCTAAATTTACATAATAAAAAAGTTTATAATTAATATTAGATTAATGTATGCTTAATTAACTCATATTCTTATTTTACTAATATACAAATCTATTCTATTTAAAATTAAAACATGATAAAAAAAAATTTTTGATTTAAAAAAATAACAAAAACAAATTATATCTAAAAAATAAATATAACTTATATTAGATATAAAAGATAAAAAATTCTCGTGCAGATGCACTGGGTTAGAATCTAGTTAATCTTTTAATCTTTAACCAGAAAGATTCCTCTTGATTTTTTTTGAGCAAAAAAAGATTTCCCTTTGTTATCAGATTTCATGATACAAAGTAGGGTCTCTTGTAGATAGTAGAAAATCAAATGAAAGAATCTCCAAAAAGAAATGAACCCATTTTGTTTCCTTAAATATAAATCAAACTAAAGAATCTCCAAAAACATAAATAATAGACCTATTAAATCGTTCAATTATATATATCTTCCATAATAACATTAATATCCGAACCAAATACATTACACTATATCAGTTGGAACCGCTACAACACCTCTTGAAGCTAAAGCAAACTCTCTTCTTATAGCTATTCAACAAGTTTGGAGTGTGAGATTAGTTTATCATATTTTGAAGAAGATTTGAAAAATCTCATATAATTTTCCTATGGAAAGTTTGCAAACGTTAATGTTGAAAATATTTGCGGTGATATCTCTTGCTGAAGTAATAAGTTCAAAAAGTATCTCTTTCAACATACGTACAAAGCGATCAAACAATGTTCATATTCATCAAAAATCGTACACACTTCAGTGGCTGTCTAACTTTTGATACTGATAATTAATGTTCAAAAGGTTGTAAACTATTTTGGCCAACGAGAAAACTATTGACATCTTGTAATTTGTCATTTTGTGGCGTAAACGTACACTCCTATATAAGAAAAACATTAATGATGACACGTCACATGGTTTTGTCTCATGTAATGCTCCCTAAATATGAGTAATGTTATTCAGATAAAAGTCTAATTAATTGTTAATGCAGTAAATTCAATGTTATCCGATGCTTTCTTTTGGACCGGGACCGTGTCGTGTGTCAATCCGAAAGAGCACGCCCAAATCATGATGTTCCTTCACAAAATTAAAATGAAATTGAAGTTATTAATTGCTGACATTTATGATGTAATTTTAATGATATGTAATGGTTATTGGAGAAAAATATTATGGTGTTTTTTTTAATAAAAGAAAAACTTCAGCATATAGTCAAAATAAGATAACTAATTCCCAAAAAGGAGATACATGTGAGTGAAATCCGAGATACAAAAGTTGTTTGTCTCTCCTGACTGGAAATACATGTGAGTGAAATCCGAGATAAAGTTTACATATATAGTTTGAGGGGTTTGAATCCAACAACACATGTATCCCAAATTGCCCTGGAGGCTGAACATAAGATCCTTCAAATCGTGTTTAACAATTAACATATTGTCTTCAATTAGCAAAAAAAAATAAAAAAAAATAACATATTGTCTTTTTTGGAGCTAATGACTCTGAGAAAAATAACATCATCGGTTTTGTATTGTCTTTTCTGCCTCCCTTATAATTCTAAAATCCCTAACGACAAAGCATGCTTATGCAATTATATTTATAGGACAAAAAATCTGTAATATTGTCCCCTTAAAATTTTTTCAAATTTGGTCACTTTTGGACATAAATACCCTTTTATAAGATTTCGAAAATTAAAAAAAAAATAGTTTTACAGTCTAAAAAATTTTGGAAAAATCAAAAAGGGAATTACGAATACTTTCTGAAATAGAATATATTTTTTGAAAAATTTTAAACATTTGTTTTACAAATATTTTCCAAATTAGTAGAAAGTGCATTCTATAAATCTATAAATTATAGAATAGGCTTTCTACTATTTCATTAGTTTTCTACTAAAAATATAGAATTAGTTTTCTACATTTCTTCTATGTTCTACAAAGCTGTGAAATCGTATTCTATAAATTTATCATTGTTCTACAATTTAGTAGAATTATATTTCTATAGTTCATTCTTTGTTCTACATCTTAGTAGAATTAGATTTATACGGAAACTCTTTGTTCTACAAACTTAGTAGAATCTCATTTCTACGGAAACCCTTTATTCTACAATTATAGAATACCTATTCTACAATTCAGTTAAATGAATTTCCGAAAATCTAGGAGCAGATCTAGGAGAATATATTATTTTCCTTTTCATAATATTTAATTTCCTAATTAATTTTTGAAATATTTTTTTTTCAATTTAGAGAATTCTGTCACCATTTTTTTTCTTCCCCTCCTCAATTTAGCGTTTTTTCTCCTCCTTCAACCTACAAACTTTCACGTTTTCTTCATAACTTAGAGGAGGACGGCTGTTCGCCGGAACTTACCGAAGATAGAGAAGAAGTTCCGGTGAAGGAGGAAAGAGAAGTTCTCTGAACTTTTTTCTTTTACGATGAAGGAGATGGGTGGTAGGAGGCGGCTTCTACAATGTAAGAGTAATTTTTTTTTTTTACTTTTAAGAATTTAATTTTATTGTTAAATTTGAATTAAAAGGGTAGAAGAGGTTAAAATATTTGTAGAAGTCTTAGGGGGACAAATTATTTTATATAAGTATTAAGGGGACAATAGTAGTGTTTTTTTGTCCTATATTTTTAATTCTTTCTATTTTTTTTATCTTCCTTTTTTCTCACGGCTTGTATCTCTCTCTACATTGATCTTCTTAAAGCCATCTTTACTTCTCCTTCACACTCCTTCATAAATATACATAATATCTCTGGGTTTTACATACTAACTCTTGAAGCTTCTTCTTTAACCACAAAAAAAAAAACTCTTCAAGCTTCTTGTAAGTAGTTTCTCATCAACACAGCTCAAATGTGTAAGTCAATCCCAATCAAACTTAGATAATAACTTTATGATTTTTTGGGTATATGTCATCCGGATATATATGAATGAGTTATTCTATGTTACTGTATGTATTATATGTAAGTTTTAAACATGTCTTGCTCTATTAGGTTTTTTTTTTCTTTGAACATTTTCTTGCGTTAGTATAATGTTGCAAAAGTGCTCTACTACGTTCTACTGCGCTTTATTTCATAAGGAAATGTGATGGTAATTTCGAATAAATTGAAAGAACTTAACTAGTCTCTATAAATTGGTTTGTAATGTAGATGTAGATGTAACTAATAAATATCAAAACATATAGCATATATATATATATATATAGTTCAATAAGAATCATCAAGAGCAAATACCATACTTTTTTGGTTTTTATTATGTACAAAACCTCCATAAATCCGGGAAATAACTCCATGTTTTTCCCCTTTCATCTCAATTATAAATCTGTTTCCACCATCATCGTCTACACAGTACTAATGTGCATGCATATTTTATAAATATTTATCTTGCATCTTCTTCACTTTGATCAGAGATTCAGAGATCAATCTGACAACTCGAAGAAGTAGAAGCAGCATGAGAATTTGTATACTCTTCTCCCATTTCAACAACCCCTTCCGAATCATCCTCCAAAAAATTCATTCCTTCATCTTCCATTTTATAAGCATTGTTTCTCGCCTCGATCTTGGTGTTATTATCATGAGTAGAAGCAGAAGCCATGGCTGCAACCTCCACGTTGCTTAACTGTGAAGCAACGAACTTATCAAGAACTCTCCAGTCCGTAGTCACTTGTTCCACTCCTTGATCGTAATAAAGAGAGCAAAAACTTTGATTATTCCCTTGTTGCAGTTGTTCCTCATGAGAGAGATTTGATGCTTGCTGCAAGTTACCAATATTTCTTGTGTTATTACCGTTGTTGCTTGATCCATAAGGTATAGAGTTGCATATACTGTTAGGGCTTTTAAGCTGGGGAAGCTGGAGGAACATAGATTCATGAAGATGATGATTTTGTTGTTGATGTTGTAACATATGGTTGTAATGTAGCTCGAGCTCTTGCTTGCATTGCAGGTTAGAACTGTTGCTTAGTGCATAAGCTGAAGACGCATTGAGGCCATAAGGCAATGGCTGCTGGTAATGATGTCTATTACAATGATTATTATGATTTGGAAGAATCCGCCGTGGAGAGTTGGAATCGAGATCCGAGACCATGAAAGATAGCTGGTCATCGTACCAATGTGATGGCGAAGAATCGTAATCTCCCATTTTCCTCACTGTCGCCGCCAATCTCTTCTTGAAAACCCTACACACCACCCATCCTTCTTCCTACACAAATATAGCAATTAAACAAGATCTCATTAACAATTAATATGCACACACTTTTCCACCATTATATTTGTTTTTTCTTTGAATAAGTATATAATATTGATCCGGACATGTGACAGATTTATAATTAGAATGTTTCAAATCCAACTTCAATGTAACGTTTCTCTCTAAAAACAAACTGAAACATGTAAACAAAAGTTTGGGTTCAATCAATTTTACATATAAATTAACCAAAACAATTACTGAGTACAGAAGATATAAATTCAAATTCGGATATTGTGACAACAGTCAAGTTTAGAGTATTAACATCATATGTAAGCTATGTGTACCATTAGTAAACATATTTGGACCAGAAATAAACAATGGTTCTCTCATTTTTGATGGCTTGAGTCAAATTGGTAATAGCATGTAAACTATACATGTTTATTAAAGTTTAATAATGTACGTTGGATATATTGTATCGAACATAGAAGTTCTGTGTCTTAATGTAAATAAATTATACTCAATTTTGTAGGAAATTTTTCTTAACTTTCTTATACAAGTTAATTATATATGAGTTAAAGATGTGTTTGGATCAATATATATACCTGAGGGGTTCCGTTTTCATTTGTTTCTAAACGATATTCATGCATGATCCAGTCCGATTTCTGTCCATTTGGGGCTCTTCCTTTGTAAAACACAAGTGTCTTCCTCATACCGACAAGACTATGTCTTAAATATATAGCCTTGTCTCTTCCCGTGGCTTTCCAGAATCCTGCTTTTGTTGCTCTATTGGTTCGAGTTCCTGTGGGGTACTTCTTGTCTTTATGGCTAAAGAAGTACCATTCACTTTGCTCTTCGTTTCCTATTTTGCATAACTCTGTATTTTCACAAAGAAAAAACCATAATCGCAAGCGTTTCTATTATTATAAAAGGATCACTAAAGAGAAATGGTAGGATTTTCTGGCGAGACCTTGAAGATCCCATGGCTCAATCTTGTAAAGATCAACGTCCTTGATGATATCGATTTCTATTCTCTTTGATGCAACTTTTTTCCTTAGGTAGTAGTCTACAAGTTCTTCATCAGTTGGATGAAATCTGAAGCCAGGAGGTACATGTGAAACCGAATCCATCCTGCGTATGATATGAAAACATTGAATGTTAAATTGTTGGATCATGAAAGTAAAATATAAGAATTGATATAGATACGTATTAGTATATGATCTAGTGCAGTGATTGATCGTTTCATTTAACTTTTCTAGAAACTAATTAGGTTTATCTCTCGGGCTAATATACATATGGTAAACAATTTTAATTCAAACATACATGCACTAATACCTATACAAATTTTATATATCAACTTAGAAATTCATATGTATATTATTTCCTAGCTAACTAATTTTTGATTAGAAGCTTGTACCTTTATATTTCGTTGAAAAAAAACCTTTTATGCATCTTAAGAGAAATGGAAAATAGAAATAGCCGATTAAGCCCATTAAATTGGTTATAGATTCATGGCACTCTTGAAGATGGAATAGGGATAAATAAAATAATTAGTAGTTTCCTATAATAGGGTGAAAAAGCTCTCCCATGTTATTAATCTTGCAATGATAGTTTATATATGCTATATGCTAAAGTACTGATAGTATCAGCAGACAAAGTTGAGGCCACGAAGAAAAAAAAAAAAGAGGAGAAATATCTCTAGGATGATCAACCTATAAGAGATTAATATATTATCTAAATTATCAATAAAAAAATATTAGAAGAAATCATCTGCTTTCATGGATTTATGATTTTGGGTATACTCTGAAACATAGCCTATGAGTCTCTTGATTTTGCTTAGCTTGTAATATCAGCAACACTGAGTAGGATGAGAGGACAATATATGATGATGATCATCAAAATCATGATAATAATTCAAAAAGGTAACAAGCTTCAAGAAGAAGAAAAATGGTAAATATCTGTCGAAATATCTAACTAGAAAAAACGCAAAAACATAGAGATAATTAAAGAGAGGACCAAATATGAAGTATAAACCTCAAATGAAGTTAGGTTCTATACCTCAACAAACTCGAAAAAGGTCGATTCAACTCAAACCCTACATAAAGCTCTGGAATTGAGTTATTTATATGTGACTGGATTGGATTCTACTGAATCTTCCTCTTGTACTTGCAAAGATCGAACACTTCATGACATACACTATAGAGTTAAAGCTAGAGAGAGGTAGAGAGAGATAAAGAAGGAGAGAGATAACCCTAAAAGAGATGTTACGCAAATGGAAAAGATTTGACAGTTATCATCGGAAATAGCCACCGGAAAGAGATCGGATCCCAAGAAATATTATGAAAGAGAGAGAGGATGGAAAAGAGAAAGAGAGACTGAGAGAGAGGTTGGGAAAAGAGAAAGAGATTAGGGTTAAATAAAGATATATCAGATGATGATGAATTAAGAAGAAGGAAAGAGAAAGAGAGAGAAGACACAAGCAAAAGTACACAAGCGTGTCCTAATAATATATACTACTTTATCTCTCTCCATGTCCTTCTCAATCATAGTCTCTCTAGCTATGTCTTATAACCCCGAGTGAGATACTTAATTTGATGCAAAAGCTTCGGGACAAATGAGAGGCGGATAATGGGGGCTCAAGAGAGAGAGAGAGAGAGAGAGAGAGAGAGAGAGAGAGAGAGAGAGAGAGAGAGAGAGAGGGCAACCTCCATTGCCACCCACCAGCTCTTGATGGAGACCGTCTAAAGTTTTACGACAAAAAAAACTATTTCCTGACGAACATTAACTCATTTTCATACCAACACAAGATATTTTTGTGATAATCCCGTTCCAACTAGTCTAGAGTTATCATCTTGGCCGAGACTCGAGAGTTCATGTATCATATATTGATCAAATAAAATGACCGGAAATTGTAAGTTCAGCTGGTTTCTACTATATACTGAATACAATTTGTATGCAATGTTTGAGTTGTAAGAAAAAAAAATGCGGACAACAATGGATACTGTATTTGCATTTTTTTTTCTTTCAAAATATGAATTTCTTCACATCTAAGAAATATCGAGCTACATTTCCCAAACGCGCATGAGCCATTTGGTTAGAATTTAGAAAACCCAAGAGTAAAAAATTGGGGTTCGAATGGGTAACAATAAAAAACACAAATACAATACTCCATTTTGGTGTGGTAACAAAAAAAAAAATCTTAAAATGATAAGATATAATTTTAAGAGATGATAGTATGATAGTATCGTAAGAGATTACAATTGATGAAATTCTAACCATTTGAATAGTGCATGCATGCGATAAAAAGAATTAAAGGTTATATAAATATAGTTTTTAATAACTTATTTTTATCTTTTTAAAACTACAAAGTAGCATGCCGTAAGGCTTGATATTTCAAATGTTTCGAATTAACAAACTTATCTCTATTGCCTGTCTTTTTTGTTTTGAGTAACTTACTGCCGCGGGATAAACAAAACTCTCATGGCGTCGAGTAACTTTTTTTCTAAAGACTTCAAAAGTCTTATTTTTTTGTTAAAACAAAAGTTACTTGAGAATATGTATGTGTTACATATGAAATGTATTCATTTGTATTCATATAATCATTTCGAACAAAAGTAACTGTTGAGACATACCTTAATCATTAATTGTCAAAGTGCGTGTATCTTCTTGAAGACTATCCTGTTAAATATGTCCAATGAAATTAATATACTCCACTTTTTATAAGGTAATTATTGCACGCTATAAAATATTAAATATTTATTGTATATGCACACTTTCTCTTTGGACATTTTCAATCCTTTGGCAAATTCAAAGTATGTGACTTTACCTTAAAATTCGAAGTATAGATACGTATAGACTTATATCCGCTTCCGTTTTGGTTCTATTCATTTGATATACAAACTTGAGAACGATTGCTCGATTAAAATCTACTAAAGGGATCGATCAATCCTAATACAGACGACGCATATAAAGTAGAGTAGTTCTGTGGTTAGGTTTCAAATGGATTTATAATTGCTATTTTAAAATTGTTAGAAGGGTAATTATTCGTTGGGTTTTATTCATTTATTTTTGATCTTAATTCTAGAATTTGGTAGCTCTCATGATCTTAGGTTAATTAAAGTCAAGGGTTGGTTTTTTTTTTAAGATCTTAATTCTAGAATCTTTCATAATCTTAGCTTAGCTTAATTTTGTATTTCACCTCAGAAATAATAGTACCGTACAAAAAATGTTGATCTTAAAAAAATATATTCTAAATGATAAGGAAAAAGAGTCAATATCGAATATAGAAAATATTTCTATTGAAAAAAGGTATTCTCGATTTTCTTTTTTGAATTGTCATTTATTTTGACTATCTTCAAGCCCAACAATTTCATTTTTCTGTAACAGGTTTATAGCCGCCCCCCCCCCCCCCCCCCCCAAAAAAAAATGGATAAATCCCCAAAGTTTTTTACTCCGGCCAAAAAACCAGGTTGCTTAAGAGAGGGGGAACTTTTAAATAAAAAAATCCCGGGGTCCAGGCCCTTTTACCCCCCTAACCTGGTTTAAAATTTAGAATATTTATAAAACGCGTATCCGAATGCAAAGTTTCGTGTGATTAGTCTTTAGACTTAAACAATCTTTGGAATGTCTACTATAAAAACGGTTTTTACAGCTCAGAGAAGAGCCGTGTCAAGCAGAATAAAGCCGAACCGATCAGAATCAGGTTGGAGTTTGAACTTTGAACCAGTAATAGTGGAAATCGGGCCTCACCAAAGAAATGTGCTGACATGGCAATTAACGGTCCTGCGTGAGATAGGCTACGATCATTAATCTTACAATTTTGCAGTTGCATGCCGTTTGGGTCATGTTGGTCCCGTACCGTTTTTCCGTTTTCTTTTGCTTTTTTAAACAACCTTTTCTATTTTTTAATATTCTTGGATCTCAAATTTAAAAATAGATATCAGTTTCTTTTTTACAAAATAGCAGATTTTTATAATTTTTGTTTTATAAGGTGAATAAAAAAATTTTAACTTGCTCTCAGTTCTCTTTAACCAAAAAACAAACTTTCATCTAGGAAAAATTGTAAGAAAATTCTCACATAATTGAACCAGTGTTACCTAAAATTCAAACCAAATCTGATATTTATTGAAATTTCACTTTCTTATAATGATGCAAACAAAAACAAAAATTTAATGCGGCATTAAATTACAACAAAAATAATCGTTTTAATTATCATTAGTTAAACCTTGTGTTCCACATTTTCTTTAAAATAAAATATAAGTATAAAGCATTCAACGACGCCTTCAATATTAGTTTAGGAGACTTAATTTTGATGCTAGGAAATCCACAAAACTCATGTGAAGTTACACTGTTTCAAAAAATGTTGATAGCTAGTTCTTTGTTTATATAATATTGGGTTAACTTGTATTTGACTGTTCTCAAATAATCATATTTAGTGAATTTAATGGAATAAATAGTTTGTGTTAAAATCTCATATTTTAACACAAAAGTACAAATTTATTGGCTATAAATTGATTGACCTATGTTTTTGATATGCTATTTTAAGTTCCATCAAGTTTTCAAAGTGTTAACCCAGTGGTTAGTGGGGTGGTTCTCACTTATGGGAAAAAAATTTCTGTTGATTTAGGTCAAAGATCGACTTTTCTCATATATGGAATTATATCACATTAAAGCTTTGGCCACGTGGAATGTAACTGGGCGGCCTCATGTCCCACCAGAGGATTAGTCAGATGCCTTCGGGCCTCGGATTCTCGGGTGCTAATAAAAAAGGTTTTCAAAGTGAAATTTGTAATGGCTTGAAAAAAAAAATGAATATGACGGTGTTGGTGGTGTGGTGTGGTATGGTGATGAAGTTGACCAAAGTCTTTCCATGGCCAGAGATTCCAAAATCAAAGTTTGAGATGGTTTTTTCAAATGATGTTTACAATTTTTTTTTTTTGGGTCTAGAAAAAGCGATTAAAGGTTGCTAGTTTTTTAAATGTTTGTAATTGCATTTTTTACGTTTCAAATGACATCTATCTCAATGTATGGAACTGATATAAGTTGATTTTTTTTTCCTAATTACTCTATGATTGGGTGAAAATTGAAAGTTCAACTTTAACTCTCTTCTCAGTGGATAAAATATGTTGGTAACTAATTAACTAACAAACCAACTAACAAGATATTTAGATTATATATAGTACAGCTTTAGGTAAGTTCATCAAAATTCGGATGGTTCTGCGGCTGAGGTTAGGGACTTTAGGGCAAAGGTTTGTTTTCTGCTAAATTCAAAGCAACAATACAGCGATAGTTGGAAAATGGGCATTTTGATGTTTTGTTTTTAATCAATTGGTGTGTTGTTGGAACGAAGCATAGAAGTGAAGCATAAGTAAAGTCTGAGATCCTAAAAAGTGTCATTTTTGGTCCCACCTTGTCTCTTGTCAATTACAAAATTGACATTGGCATTGAATTATTACTACTTATTCGACACTTATGCTAATATATATTGGACGACTGTGTATAAAGAATATACTCATGTAATGGCAAGAAATGCTAGAAGCACTCTTCAAAATTGTAACCTGGAACTTGAACATGTAACTTTGATTCGTGAAATATTTTGACCAAAAAAGAGAACATATGCAGAAATCTTAATGTAAAGAGCCGGAGAACGACGAAGTGCGGAGTATGTTTGGCAACGAATCTGTTCCGACAGACTGGGAGGATAGAGTGGATGCAACGGCGGAGAATACAGAGCTGACGGAGGAAGACATGCGGATCTTGGACGAATGCTTGATGATGACTGAAGAAGCAATGGAGGAGGACGATCTATTGGGCGAAGACTTAGCAGCTGAGGAATTTGCGGTGAGCTTGGAGCATACAATTTCTGATGTTGTGGTGCCAATCTCTCACTCGCCTGCAGTGACCCCTGCCATTTCTCCATCCCCAACCAGCAAAAGGGTGAGATCTCCTGATCAGTCTCTCGCAAGGAAGAACCAACGCTCTTCACCTCACGCCCGACATGAGAAAATGCAGGATAAGAAGAAAAAGATTCCAAGGAGCCCCAAGGTGAATGCTGCTGTGTCAAAGAAGCTTAAACCGTATCAGAGTAAGAGTCCTCCGAAGAAGCGTTCTGGGGGGAATGCAGCTCCATCGACATCTTCAA